AACGGTCTTTTGTCGAATTGGAAAATCGAAGACAACGACGATGACGATGCGTGGTCGTGCGGAGATCGAAGTAAGAACGATCGCGGTTCACCAGGACAAAAGGACCAAAAAGTAAAAAAGAAAAGAGAAAGGGTTTTCCAAGAAGGGAAAGCAAATCTTTGTTTTTCTCGCGGAAAATTCTGACGGCGTTTAAACATCATCGATAATAATATTTTAGCGTACCACATCAAAGGACTCTAGGCAAAGAACGCATTCTCGATACGTTCGAACAAAGATCGACCGTGAGAGAAACAAAGGCCATTCATAATATGGCAAATAAAAAAAAAAAAAAATTAAAACTGAGAACGATTAAGCCGCCACGCCGCTCGCCAGGCTCACGCATATTATTACGTTTACTTCGAATTGCATGCTTTAAGTGTCACCCAGAATGCTCAGTGTTTCCTTCTCGTCGTCTCCTTTATTTCTCTTCTCGTTCGTTTTATTACTATTACTTTTTTTTTCTTTTTTTTTTCTTTCGTTTGTTCCTCACGTTTGCCCCAGGCTTCACACGAACGCGTGACGCCTAACGAAGCATACGTGTATATGCGTACGTATATCTCGCCGTAGAATGACTGGAGGAGCGTTTATATACATATTTTTTCTTTAGAAACGGACAGAAAGGACTATACGCAATTTTTGCACAACTCGGATCTCCGTTTATCCGGCCGTTCACAACCTTCCCTTTATTGTCCCAGTGTTCTCCTCTATTCGCTCGTACCAACGGGTTTGTATGCACCTGTGTACATGTACCTATGCGCGCGCGCACATGTGTGTGTGTACTCGTGTACTTGTGCAACGAATACGTCTGACCACGATCTCTCTCTTCCATCGAAATTCTCTGGCCGACCTCATCAGAGCGGAGGCTGTTCACAATTTCTTTTGGCCGAAGTTTAACGAGACGCAGCTCGAGAAATTGGATAAAAAGCTTTTTTCCAGCCAAAGGCATTGAACGAAGGGGTTGGCCTCGCCTTCATTCGCGTTCGATGGCTAAAGGGCGAAGGAAAGAAAAAAAAGGGTAGATATACCGTATTATATGGACAGCTCATACACGTACACGCATAGGCACGCGCGCGCGCGCACACAGACACACGTATAAGGTAGTATCGTCGTCGCGCGCGTCAGCGGCCGTGCACTGTCTGACCGGATCTTTTTTTTAATTAACGAGCACACGCGGCCATTACAAATGAATTGCGCGCCTTTCTTATATCGACGCTTAATTCGTTTCCGTGTTCGTGCTTCGTTTCGTTCTTCAGCCGCAGGTATTCTCTTTTTCCTTCCCCTTTCCTTTCTTTTTCTCTTTTCTCTACTACCCTCCCTTTGCTCGCTTGCTCGCTCGTTCGTTCGTTCGTTCGTTCTCTATCTTCTTGTCTCAATTGCATATCGAGTAAATGCATAGAGTCGCGCAGACGGACGCACTGACAAGACCCACCGGATCATTCTACTTGTTTTCTGTGCGGGGCCGCGTGGTCGCGCGCGCACACGCCCGAATGCGAGTCTTAACCCTCTTGAAGAAGTCTTTGGTTTCGCGGTGGGTTTGCAGCGGTTCGAAGAAAAAAAACTGGCATTGAAAGTTCTTACTTCGCTCCCTCGAAAGACGACCAGGCATTTTGAAACGTCGTCGAAAGAGTTTCCACACCCCCAACCCCAGACCGTTGTCCCCTGTTTCTTTTATCCACAACCGAGCTGCCGTATCGAGTGTGCTCCGCTGCTTCGCGTCTATTTTCTCTCTTGCCGACTGTATTTTCTTTTTTTTTATTTTTTCGTTCCGTCAAATCTTAGCCTTGTTCAATTCCGTAACGGTCGAATGAACGGTTCGTACGATGGGATGGGTTGATGTTAGGGGCGCGGGAAAACGTAGATTCCTTCGTAATCGTCGCGAGAGATGCGTCGATTGTCGAGGGCTTCCGTAGCGTTCGTAAAAGACCGTTTCTCCTCCGGGCTGGTAGTACTCGGTGAATAATTTGAAAGGACGCGACAATAACGGGGTAGACGCGAAAAGATTCGGTCGAAGAAAGGATTTATCGCGCACTCGGTGTAACCGTCGTAAAGTTCGGTATCTTTTGGATCCTCGAGAAAGATACGAATTCATCCTGTTCAACGCGTACAACGGTTATTTCGAGGTAAAAAGCATCCCCTTTGAAAACGTGAACCTGCCATCGAAGTTATCGCGCGTCGTTCAGGAGACGTACGAGCACGAGCAAGGAGAGCCGATGAGAGGGAGAGACATTGAGAATCAGAGGTACAGATGAATCGAGTAAGAGGAAAATCAATGAAAGAAAAAGAAAAACGGAAGAGAATCGTGAACAGAGAGAAAGTTTATCGCTTGCGTCATCCTTTTTTTGATATGGGATAGGGTATAAGTGTAGGGGTTGCAGCTGCATGAGGTGCATTGTTGTGTTTCAGTGCTCACCTCTATGACGGGGCTGACCTTGAACTCTCTGAACACCCAGTCAGCGAAGAAGCTGTTCACCTGCCAGCTGTGCGGCAAGGTGCTATGCAGCAAAGCATCCCTGAAACGCCACGTTGCCGACAAGCACGCCGAGCGACAGGAGGAGTACAGATGCGTCATCTGCGAGCGGGTATACTGCTCGCGTAACTCCCTGATGACCCACATATATACCTATCATAAGAGCAGACCCGGCGACATTGACATTAAGTTCTTTTGAAGGTTTAGATAAGGTAGGGACCACGTACCTATCAACACGTCACACTATTTCAGAGGTCTCTCGCGTTTACAATCTGTCATCGATCCTTCTTCCGTCCCTCTTTTGTCATTTCCACCCTTAACATTGCTCACCCTTCGATTCTACCACGTTTAACCTATTTTATCGTGGGAGGTTCCGTTCCTGCAATCGTGATTGCTTCGTTACGACCTCGGCTCCGCGTATACTTTATTCCCTTCCTTTTCTATTCACTGAAAATGCATGCCAGAGAAACCGGTCTCGACTCCCACGTGGAACGACCCTTCTTCTTCTACTTCTTCTTCTTCTTCTGCTTCTTCTTCTTCTTCATCTTCCTTTTCTTACGGTTCGAACTTTCGTTCCAGCATCGGTCGTTCCTCTATCCTCGTTTCTCAGAACTGCTTTTCTTTCCTCGCCTCCCGTCGTCCTTCGTTCTCTTCGGTACCGTACGCTCGCCGATCGAATTCTTCCGGTATTCTCAGCTCCGTTATACCCCCTGTCGGTGACTCGGGATCGATGCGTTCAGCTTTGTCCTTCAGCGTGCCAGCGATCACGCCGGAGACGAGACGATCGAACCGGGAATCGATCGTCGATCAGAAAAAAATCGTTCGATTAACCGATCCGATCGCGTACGATAGGGTTGCGTTTAATTTACGAGTAGGTCGAATACTTGTTTGTTCTACGTCGGCCAAACGGTCGAACGTCAGGGTATAATTACGCTTCAGGTTCTTCCTTACTAACACCCCTACGACTCCTTCCGCCTATTTTGTTTCTTTTCTTTCCTTTTTCTTTCTCTTCTTTTTATGTACCTTTTGTATCGTCGCCTTGTTTATGTATGCGTGCATTGTTTCTTCCTTCTTTCTTTTTTTACCGTTAATCTTTTTTTTTCTCTCACTAAATTTTTATTTCGATCATATTATTTTTTTGTCGTGGCTTTTTCAATGTTCTATGTTATGTGTGCATGCTGATGTGTAGCTCGTTTCGCAGACTGCGCGGCTAACAAGGAACGAAAGCTTCCAGAGCGGTGAATCGATCGCCGACGAATCGTCGATCGTTTTAAAACGATTAAGCATTGGTTTTTCTTTTCTTTTTCTTTTTCAACAAATCGAACAGTTTGCATCGTTGCATGAGAACAATGTATCGCACACGCGAGTCGTATCTGATTCTCGTTAAAATTTCTTTTTGCTTGTAAAGATAGACACACTTAATTTATTTCGCCGTCTATCAGTTCTCTAATCACTAACCAATCGTGCACGAGTACGAGCGCATTCCTTTTATGCACGTTACGAACATATTTTGTTTGATAAGAGAAATCGAGTACGTGGCTTGTCTCACGCATTCACAGCACGACTACGTAACCTTTCGCACTTCTAAGGCGTTTAATTAACATCCTTTTGTTTTTCTATTTCTTTACGCGACCATTTAACCACCGGGGAATGACAAATGTAATTTTTAAGCGGTTCTCTAACTCGATTGTCGAACACGACGCGTCTGGCATGGTGGTTTTGGTCCTCTTCGTCTCGACTCACTCTCGACTAATCGCAATTCGATCAATTTTTTAACGATAGTTCCAGTATCTAGCACGGATCGGTTACGCGAGTCAATCCGATATATCGATCGACGAGGCAGCCGTACTACTCGATGAAAAATGTGAGAACGAGATAAAGGGAAGGGAGTGAGTTAACTTGTACTAATCCTTAATTGATCCCTAGACAGCTGATAGGGTTGAGTTAAAACCAAGCCGAGGTCGTCTCGAGAAGGGAACGGGAAACCTTAATCGAGAACTGCATCGAACGTTCGAGGATCCAGTTAATTACTTGATGCATCATCGCGTTGAACGTTCTCTAACGTCGAAATTCCTGGTAGACCGATTTAACGCGTTCCTCTTCGATACACGATCTCACCATCTTCCTTCTCCCCATCCGTTTCCCCTCGGACGTTCGACAAAGATCAACCCTTAAGGGTATATCATACATTTCACAGTCTCGCGCGAGAACAATGCAGTAATTCGAACGAACAAGCATCTTGTTCACCGACTAAACTTTCTCGAAGCTCTCGAGCGTTAACTATTCGTCCGACTGGACGTACACGCTCGAAAGCTACTATCGTACGGGCGCGTCGAAACGTTACCCCTCAGCGTCTGTTTCGCGTCGTTCACGCTATCAACTCGGACGTTAAGGGGCTGGCAAACGAATGTTCAAAAACTGTTCTCGCGCGAGGATCAGTAAGCTCGACCAAACCGAGGTGCGAATTTTCTGACCCGAAACGGACGATTTTCAGGTACGGGCAACGGGATGCATCCAGCACCGTCGACGCCTCCCTCTGCCATGTACCGGATGCCTCCGCCAACGGCGGGTGGTATAAACGAGCCTCAGGAATGCCCGTACTGCCGTCGCAACTTCTCATGCTACTACTCCCTGAAGCGTCATTTCCAGGATAAGCACGAGCAATCGGACACCCTCTACGTATGCGAGTTCTGCAACCGCAGGTACCGAACCAAGAACTCGCTGACGACGCACAAGAGTCTTCAGCATCGTGGCTCCAGCGGTATGCTCAAGAGGCTGTTGAAGACCACGGCGATCAAGAACGTTCTAGGCAGCATGCAACAGGCCCAGATGCAGCAACAGCCGCAATGAAAATGTCAGAACCGTCTTACAGTCTCCTCGTTCCCTGGACTCGCCGCATCGTCGTACTCTCATCGTCATCGTCCGCGTCCTTGCCACCATCGTCGCTCGTCGATCTCAGCGTCCGCTGCGTCGTCGCGGAACGTTGCGATCGGTCATTGTCGATCTTTACCGGACCAAAGCACGCCGCCGCGATGCGTCTGGATGCGCCAGAGAGCGACGAGACGCGCGTTTCCGGTTCGCCGAGTCGTCGCGCATCCTCCGAAGGTCGATCGAACGAATTCTTTTCATGGCACGCGTTGATCGTTCCCGAGGACGTTCATCTCTCGAATCGATCGGCTTCTCTTTGCCGATTTCCCATCACCTCTCGTTCGTCCGTATGTTCCCATCGGCCGACAATCGCGCTTTTCACACCCTCCTACGCCTCGTAGTCGTCGTTTTGTAGTTCTCCTCGAGTCAAGACTGCGATTAATCCAAAGAAGAAGAAGAAGAAAACGGCGAAGAAAATCGACTGAGAGACACGCGATCTCGTAATATTTTCACGATACGTTTCGTTGGATTTCAACGATAATGGTAGCTGTGGCGCGTGCACGCGCACAACGGCTGAGAATACATTCCATTGCTTCGGTTTCCAGCCCCGCTGTCCGGAAGCGAGTGGCCTGGGCCGATTCCGACGAGGTCTCGAACGCGTAACCGTTTACCGAGGGACTGACTCGATCGGGACGTCGAGGCAACGCTTCTACAGGCAAACACGCCCCTTTTTTCAAATTCTATGTCACGAGATTAGCCTTTCAGAAGAGATACGGATCCTTTCGGAATAATTAAGACGTAACGAAAACGAAAAAATAGTATTTTTCTTCCGCAAAAACGAGCGTGACGTTGCCTGTTTCGCGCGTTCGTTCGTTCGAGTCTCGAACACAGTCCCGTGACACATGTCAATTTACAAGATTATCTTGCTAACGACCATAGCGCTAGATCGGTTCGACCGTTTCAGTAGGGGAAAGGGTTTAGAAGCAGCGACTTCGAATCGCGTGGCAGGTAAACCGCTAAAGACCAGGAACAGCATGGCGACAGGGATATGGAGATTGAGGAAAACGTGTGTCAAGAATGACCGAAACATCGTGCTGTACATAGATGTTAACGCGTATACGCGTGTACGAATGGTATGCGTGAAGAGTGAGAAAGATGGTGTGCGTATTTGAGTGTCGAGTGTACGGCTCTGTTGCTGGAACTTTTTACGTGCACGCGCGCGGAACGCATGGGTATTCTCGGATGTTAGGGAGGTGGGGAATCGTAGATCGAGTATCTTAGGCCTAAATGAAATTCAATTACAAAGTCTACAAAATATGTGCTCAAATTTCGGGAATAGGGAGTGGGTTAGAAAGGATCAGCGATTTCGGCAATCGAGAAACGGACGGGATCGATTAGAGACGAATGCATCGCGAATTAGCAAAATAGGCCATGTAGAGCAGGATAAGGGAAACAAAATGGGAATGGATTTAGAGGAGTCATTACGTGTTGACAAAAAGGGAGCGGAGAAGCGTTAGATAAAAGTGCAAGTAGAAGTTAGATATTGGGCTCTTACACGTGTACAGATCCGTCGTGCGCGCAAATTACAGACTATATTTTTAACTCTTTAAAAATAAGAATATTTTGAACTGTACATATATATATACAATATATATATTATATTCGTACGATATTGATAACGATGATATTCTCTTGTTCAGGTTTTATAAGAGGGTGAATGAATGGAAAGAAATGAGAAACAGTCTAGTGCGACGTAGATAGAACAACGGCGGGGGCAGGGCAGTGATAGAAATGTTCACGCATCGTTCTCATTTTCGTTTCGTTCGAGATTCGCGCGTTTACGAATTACTAGTATACGCGTCTCAATTGGCGAATGTGCAATATTACGAGTAAGGGGCTGAATCAGAGGATTCCAGCAGTAACCGACGTTTCGTTCCACGTCTCGAGCTTTTTCGTTTTCTCTTCGCGTTTCGTCGCCGCGTGTCGTTCGAAGGGTTCTACAAAGAGACAGAGGGATCCAATTAGGCCAAAGAAAAAAAAAGAACACGTACACTGGGATGGGGAGGGATTCTAAAAAGTAGTTCGCGCGAAACCGTCGATCCACTGCCCTGTTCTTTTCGAATTTTCGGTTCGCGTACATGCCGTGAACGAACGTACAAGCGAGAGGAAACCCTAAAAAAAAAAAAGAACGTTGTTCATCGTGCAACATATTCAGGTTTAGAACTCAGTATAAAACGAAGAAAAATGGAAAAAGAATAAAGTTGATGTTTTATCGTAATTAAGGGATGGGGGTTTACAAACGAAAAAAAAAAGAATAATGAAACAAAGGAAATGCCATTATAACTAACGAGCAAGTACAAATTATCGAGGAAAAAATGATAAAACAAATTACGTCTACGTCTTAATTCTTAGGTTTCGTAGTAGCGAAGAGGGGAATTAAGGGAAGAAAAAGAGGGAAGATATTTGACGGGACAGGATGGGTAGAATTCGCGTGCGCGTGCGTCTTCTCAGGCTTTAAACGACGGAATTAACGCGGAGATAAACGGACATAAAAACGGAAAGGGGATTCAAAGGAACGAGGAACGCGGTTAAGAGAACGAGGGAAAAGAACGAGGTTTTCCAAAAACATATCTTCGAAACGAGAAGTATACCGCGAACGAGAAATACGATTTTAGATTTAGGTGTCTTCCGTTACGGGAGTTTTTAAAATGATTGCGTATACATTACGTAGAATTAAAAAAAAAATTAATGGAAAGAAAAAATTATCTTTTCCGTGGCCGGTCAAAACATAATGTGGAGAACGAGAAAAAAAAGAACGGGGTGGGTGGGATCAACGCGCGAACGCGATTGCTTTTCTGGAAAAAAAATTTCTTTTCAACACGGGAAAAGCGTAAATATAATTCGTTAGTGAAAATTATCCTAGTCATTTTGGAAACCTTTTATAATTCTGTGATATAACGCCGGACTAGTATCAAGATGTGTATTTGGCGCTACAAAATGAAAAGGGGAACAAGGAATCAGGGTTGGGTTGCGCGGGGTATAAAAAGAAAAACCGAAACGAGTAAAATATGTACCACCTTTCCACATTATGATTGCCGGCGTGTGTGTGTGCAAAATCGCGTATTGTATAGCGAAGAAAAGAAAACTATTGTAATTGGTTAATTAATATCGAGGAAATTCTGTGATGTTCTTCAGTTGAGGTATACTAGAAACGAAAATGTTAGAGGTATAGCGAAGAAACAAAAAAAGTATACGGAATTAGGTCGATGTTCGGTGTTGTGTAAGTTAATATTGTAATTAAAACGAACGGGGAAAACGAAAAAGAAACAAGAGGAGAAAATTGCCGAGACACGAGCTGGGACTTTAACGCCGAGAAAATTCAAAATCGAATGCTGTACGGAGTTTCTACGATTGTCTAGGCGACCGCTGATCCGTTTTCGTGAAATTTCAGAAATTCGCGTTCAATTCAACGGGAGCACCGCGAGCAAAGAACTGAACCGCGTGTCGTGGAAAAAATTTTCTAGGAAAATCTCGCGAAAAATAGATGTCGCGTCGAGAGCCACCTTTGTCTCGTTGGCTCGAAATTTTTACGATCAGTACGATACCAAAGTTGATTTGACTGTTATATTGCGATTATTTCTTTTTTTTATCGATTTCTCTTTTTTTGTTTTTCTTCTGTAAACGAAACCAAAGCGTGTTACGAGCTTTTCCGAGAACGACGCGCGAACCAATCGCTCCTAGACGTTTCTCGCGATCGGCAGTCGCCACGAATCGAGAAACGAAGCGCAGTATTTTGATATATTATATAACATATCTCTTCAGGGTACTTGACCCACTGTACGCTGACACGGTGTTGAATCGAAAAATTACAAAAAAGAGGAAAAAATTAAAAAAAATTATATATATATATATATATATACACACATTATACATACACAAACGATACACACGTACACAGAATCTATTCCAATGTGCCAACGTCTTCGAACTTTAAACAAAAGAGAGAGAAGAAACAGCAAGGAACTCTAGATCTTTTACTATTTACACGAGTGAAGGCGGAAAATGAAAAACGTAGTTAGAGACGCGTCGCATCTTCTATCGAGAAACGAATATTATCAACATCATTACTACCACTAATCGTTTTAGAATTTAAAGCGAATATTATACGAAACATTATCGAGGAACTTTTTCAAACTTTAATGCATGAATTTTTGTCTCGTATGCTATTAAAACAACAAAAGCGAAAAAAAAAATACAAGAAAACAAGAGTTAGAAGTTCTAAATGAGAATGAGAGAAAGCGAGACAGAAGAGAAAGCAAAGGTGTACAAGTACACGGATGAGGGTGAGAATGCGAATGAACGAGAGAGTACGAGAGAAAGTTGTAAGAAAGAAAATATTTTAAACTATCTATTTTTATTTGCATTCTAAATATCACGTGCGTGTAAATATCGATATCCATAAGTAACGTGTGTACCTCTGACGATGGGTAGGTGTCTCAGAGGGGGATTATAGGTAATCGTAATTTGGGACCGGCATAGAGCGTTTCATATCGTATTTTGGCATCGGAGTGCGATCGTGTGCGAATGCACTGGACGTTGGAAGGCTCTGCGTCTTTGCGTGGACGATGATACGTGTTTTATCGTTGTCTCGAGATATAGCTATTTCTACTCACGTACTTCCGTTTTTTCTTGTCGATCGTGAATCGCACCAACGAAACCAACACAACAGACATTTTTGTACCGCTCCGAATCCGTCGAGCACAACCGGATCGATTGCGAAGGAAAACTCGTCGAACGTTCGTCTTCCATGAGTTTTCCACGGCAACCTATACACATTCGTAGATTCTAGCTTCCCGTTTGAATCGTTATTACAGCCGTTGATCTTAAACGCGCGAACGTACAGATTTTTATCGCGTTAGTAGTCACTCGGTTTCGTTTAATTTTTTCTTATTTTTATGTTTCTATTAACGATTTGCATCGCACCTGAGCCGAGTCAGCAGTTGGCGGTGCTCAAATTACTTTCCTGGCGCTGTGACGAAATACTTTGATACCCGAATTTACTTTCGAGAAGGCTGATTTTTATAATTTTAAACGTGTCCACGTTTAATTAAGGACTAAAATTTATTTTTTATTAGTTTCCAGACTCTTTTTTTGTTTGTTTGTTTTTTAAATCCCTGCGTACCAGGGACAAATCGACTGATTAGATTGTTTTTTTTTCGATTGGTATAAACTTTTTTTCCTTTCTTGATCATGTGATATTGTCTTACCAAAGAGCATCGGAAAAATTGTGAGAAATTCTCGGGCTGTCGAATCGGTGTCCATCCATGGACATTATGAACGGAAAGACTTTTTGTTTCTAATCCGAAAAATCTTCTAATTTGTTTCTATTCGCTTTCCGTTGTTATTTTGCGAAGTAAAGATACATCGTTTTTCGGCTAATCGTATCGTAAAAGTCCGAGAAAACGGCGCGAATATTCTGGGTACGAACACAGTTCGGTTTCGATCGAAAAAGAAACAAAATTTTCACTGTTTTAAAAAATAAGGGGGATCAAAAACAAAAGTGGAACTACGAAGGGAAAAAAAGAAACGCATCTTGGAATCGAAAACGATAACAAAAACTGCTTAGGAACGTGTAATTATGGTGAAAAAAAGGGGGAAAAAATGAAAAGAAGCGAACGTAAGAAGAAAAAAAATAATAACGTCGAGCATATAGGAGAAAGACTACTTAGATTTATTTTTATTATGTCTTCAAAAAGACTTTAAATATAATATTTATATTGTGCCATAATTAATATTAACAGAACCTTAAGTATAAATTAATTGTTACGAAAGTTTTTAAATTTATCGGAAGGGGAAAATTGCAAAAACATAAAAAAATTGTGAAAACGATAAGACAAAGAAGAAATGATATCTCTACTGTCTATCGAATAATTAAATGTAACGATAGTTATTAAGCGAAACGAAAAATTGCGTCATTTTTAAGTGAATATCGCATTTACAAGAGAAGCTAGGATTAAAAAGATAACAATGGTCGATCACATCCGCTCATGTAACACTAACAATATCACGTAGCGTGCGTCCTTTTGTCACTTCTGTCGCTCAAAAACCGAAACGAACACGACAAAAAGAATCCATGGAAGAAAAAAAACAAAAAACTCCAAGAAAACAGCTAATCACTCGCCGTTCTTCCGCGTACGAAGTATCGCCTCGCTTCATTCTTGCCAAATTTTCACGAAACATCGTCGGGAATCATCGACCCGTTTTTTTTACGAAACATATTTTTCTGGCTCTTATATTTATTCGCAAGTTTTCTCATGGATGTTCAGAGCAAGCGTTTAACGATATCAACCGTCCCGTATGAAAAGCACGACGAAAGAAACGGGTCGATGATGACCGTGTCGATTGTTCGGCAAAAAGAAGGATGACACGTGTATGCGAGATAACGAACGCGCGCGAGGTACACGCTCCCTGCTATCCTAGCGGGATTAATCGAATATCAAATTTTTATTCTTTCCGATTCGCTGTTCATTTACTTGAATTTCTGTTCGGTTTTCACGGTAGAGCGTGTACGTCTCCGTTCGTTTTGCCGGCACGCTTAACCGCATCGAATATCATCGTTTCATTCGATTCTACATATCGTCTGTGAGTGTATCCCTTAGATTATAGATTACGGATCCTCCTGTCAACCCGACATCTTCGGAAACGACTTTTACGTTCTACTCCGTAAGCGTTATTAATCATACGAACTTTGTCCCTTCCGGCTCTTCTGCCAGTTTTTAACGTTATCAACAATTGTTTTTTTATCGTCGATTACGAACGTACTACGGTCGTTAATCGATTAGCCAGGTATAGTTTAATCATTAGTTAGTCTCCCAAGGGAAGAAAATAAAGAACGAAGATGTACGATATACATATTATGCATATAGTGACGAGGAGTCGATGGCACGTTATGTTAACTTTTTATGTACATAAATATGTATATATATACACATATATATGCAGACATGTACGAATGCATACATACGCATAAAATATTATATATAGATATATGTGTATATATATAATATTACAGTTATACATATATATATTATATATATATTATATATATAGGCCTATTTTGTAAGGTTTCTCCTTGGTTTTATTTTTATGTTAATCTTTAATCTTTTCTGTTCTTTCGATTTGTTACTGCGATTTTTTCAGAGTGATTTTTAAACGCGTTAAGGAGAACTTACTGGATACTTATTATTATTATTATTATTATTATCATCATTATCATTATCACAATTATTAATATTATTATTATTATCATCATTATTATTATCACTCTTGCAATTATTGTAATAATACAATTATTAGCGTTAGAATTATTATTACAATTATTATTATTATTATCGTTCTGTCACGATTACGATTGTTTGTTTGTTCGAGATCGATCGATCGATCACAATGCGTGCGCAAATTTTAAGATGCATGCCTCAAGATCGCACACGCATCGTGAAGGCGTCGTCGTTTTCTCGCTTTCGAGTTTTTGTTGCTTGCGATTTATCTTTTTCTTGTAATTCTTCCTTGTCACGATCACGAAGCGTCGATGGTTTCCATCCGTTTGTAAAGATTAATTTTAGATCCCGTAATTAACGATACGAAGCAGAAATTAGTAAGAGATAGACCGGGTCGTTGTCGAGCGCAAAAGGATCCACGTGTTGCGAGTACGCGCACAGTCGATCGCGAGGCTGTTAGCTTCGGGT